AAAATTGGCTTAAATAGGAAATTATAGCAGAATGTGTATATTATAGTACAGGAGCCTCTGATTCTATTTAGAAAACATGTCTAGCGAATAAAATGTTTTATTGTAATCTCACTTAAAGAACGAGTATAGTCTAAGCAAGAAATTATTGGAAAGATTCAACTATGTACTCCAGGGAAGGATCGGAGAAGTGGTAGTCATGGATGTCCAGGCCAATTTCAACGCTTTCTCGGATGATTCTGTTGGAAATATCTTTCAGAGAAAGAAGAGCATTTTCAGCTTCTTTTGTGTTGATGGTTCCCAGGGCCTCTGCGCACTCGTGCCTTACCATTTCGTGGCGAGACTCGTCAGAGAGCACTCTGGCCAGATGCTTTGCAGACGCAGGGTGCGACATTTGTCCGAAAACAAAGGCTATCTCGTGCTCAAATAGATCTGATCTGTTTTTTCCGTTAAATCCTTCTGCCAGTATTTCAACTGCTTCTTCTGTTCCGATGTTTCTCAGCCCAAACATTGCTGTGTATCTGTTGTAGAGGCTTTCCTCTTCGTTTAAATATATCTTCTTCAGATCTCCAATCGATGCTGTTTTAGAAGAGAGTGCAGGATCGAGTGAGCCAAATGGAGACTTCCTGGATCCCCCGTTTTTGATAAGCTCTGCTCCAATTTGGCATGTCTCTGATACAGCCCTGCTTTTTGACACTTCTATATCAGAGTATTTTCTTAGCAGCTGTTCGTACGCCGTGTCTCCAAAGGTTGCAATGGCTTCTCCTGCCTCGTGGCGGACTATCTCATCTTCATCGTTATTTTTAAGAATCTTTTCCAAAATGGGAAGAGCTGTTTTGTTTTGCATCTGTCCCAGCACGTACGCCAGCTCGTGTTTTAGCAGCACGGAAGAAGTTGTAAAAGCCTCTGCAATGGCAGCCACGGACTCATCAGTGCATATACTCCGCAGTGCAAATAGCGCTCTGAATCTAAGCTTGAGGGGAGCCGCCTCGTCTTTCAAAATGTTCGAAAAATTTACGATGGCGCTTTGCGGATCTGGAGTGCTCATGTTAGCGCTACAAAAATTTTAGAATAAAATGCAAACGGAAAGATTGGATCTTGGATATTTGGAGCAAAAGTAAAAAGAAACTATTTATTCTTCCATTTTTGAAGAGCCTTCAATCTCTTGCGGAATGTCCACAGGCTCTGTCTTATTTTCGCTCTTTGGCATGAAAATAACCGAAGGCAGGCCGGCAAGGCACGACTTTCTCTGCTGTGCTGGGGTAAACCTTCCAAAGTTACTGACAATGTGAGACTTTTCTTCGATCTCGTTTTCAGCTATCTGCGCTTTCTCTTCTGTCTCGTCTTTCTTCTCCTCTTCTTTTCCAAGGGGGAGAATTTTAAACTTTTTGCTTTGCTTCTTGTGGTCTGTGGTTGTTACAGTTGTCATAAGGTGCTCTTTCTCAGATCCCTCTACCTCCACACTGAAATCGCTAATTATTTTCAGGTCTGTGTCAACTGCCAAAAGCAGAGTGGGCTTCATGCAGAGCGTAAGGAAAGGCACAAGGGGGTACCAGTACCAGAACTGAGAGAAGAGAATGGCGCCGCATACGCTCTTTATGGAAAGATCCCCAGACATTCCGAAAATGCTCACAAATCCGTTTTTACCGCAGGCATCCAGGAGAGATCTGCCAAGAAGTGCTCCAAACCTCGCTGCACCGCTTTCGCTTTTTCTTTTGGTCATGCTGTGCATGTGCTCAACTATTCTTCTGTATATGGGGTCGTCCTTTGCATTCACCTGCATCAGGATCATTCCTGCGCCAATGCTCGCATGCTGTCGTACATACGCTGTTCCATCGTACATCAGCAGCTCAATTACATCTAGAGCCTGTTTGCTTCCAGAGCCTGCTAAAAACATTCCAAGGACTAGAGCTACTCCCGATCGGACATACGCTGAGTGGCTCTGTGCGAGTGGCTCAAGAACCTTGAAAAGCACAGAGTTTTCGCTGAGATTGAGGTCTTTGCTGGTCTCTGACTTTGTGGTTAGGATCAATCCAATGCTAAATACAGCTATTTTTTTCACATCTTCTGATGCATCTGTGCTGATGATCGACAAAAGCCTTCCTACCACGGACAGATCACCTGTGGCAACATATGCAGCACCGAGGGAGAGTGCACCGGTATACCGCAGGATGGAGTTGGAGTCTGTGAGCATTTCCTCAAGCAAACTAAGAAGATCATCAGATGGCTCCGAAGAAGCAGCAGAAATCATCTGCAGGGCAACTGAAACTCCCACGGATCTTGAAATTTTTTCGTGTTCTGTGTCTCTTGCATACGTTAGCAATTCGTTGGCTAAAGAGTGGCTAAATCTTCCAGCACTCACTAGGCCAATGGCATAGGCTGCTGCTTCAGAGGTTGTCACTGCATCTGCGTACAAAACATTCTTGAATCGCGCAATGCACTCTTCATCATCGGTTCCCAGGCGGGTAAGACCGAGGCCAAGACACACACCGTGCAAAATGTGGTTTCTTCTGCTCTCCAGCTCAGCATCGAAGAAAGTGCTTAGGAAGCTGTCTGCAACGGAGGGAGAGTTGACTGAAATTAGCCCAAGAGCGAAGAGTGCGCCTCCGCTTTCTGGGTCGTCTTTTTCTGTCTCTCTCACAGGCGCCATGGGAAGATAGTGGCGAAGCATTTCAAAAGGGTCTTCGCTGTCTGTGTGGATCATTCCAAAGGAAGACGCTACAACAAACTTTGACCAGTTCTTTGCTTGTCTCATCCACTCAAGATTCTTTCTCAGGTATGTGTCATTTGCTGTTTTGCAGTTCATAAGGCCGTTGCAGAAGCTCAGAGACATGTGGTTCATGGAGAGCTTGGAGCTCTGCGACTTTGACAGCTCTGCAAGTAGGGCAAAGTTTGTCTGGTTTTTTTCAGACAGAAACTTTTGGTACATTGCCGACTGGAACTTTCCAGAGAGCAGAGAGTGGACCGATGCGTGGTTTATGTCCTCAGAGAGAGCCTGCGAAATGGCTGGTGAGTGGTCGTGCAGCAGAAATGCGATGTACAGAGCTGTTTCTGTTTTTTTATCTGCGAGATAGTTGAGGAGGTATTTCAGCGACTTTTCGTCCTTTTTTGAGAGATAGGAATCGAGAAGTCCTTTGTAGAAGAATGAAGAGTACCGTTCGTTTTCATCGCTCTTCCAGAAGTCTTCAAAGATGTGGAGAATCTTCGAGTATATTCTCTCCTTTTTGACTTCCTCCACGAGAAACTGCATTTGTGCGTCGTTGTACAGAATGTTTGTGTTTCTTTTTATGAACTCTTCGATGGAGCTTATGTTTTTTGTGGTGATGTGCAGACCGAGAAGAGAGAACCCGTCGGGCCCGCTGTTTTCTTCCGAAGAGAGAAGAATGTGCATGAACTCCTTCATTTCTGGCGTGTGCTCATTCTGTGTCTCGATGTAGTTTCGAATTACTCTGTTTCTAGACTCTTGGAAGTACAGATCAAGCGATGCACAGTGGCTGCTGTTTGCCTTGAACCACTCGTTCTTCGATAGTATCGTGTGCTGCACACATTCGCTGTACTGCTGGGTGTAGAAACAAATCATCGCCGAGATTAAGTGAAAGAGCTCTTTCTCCTCTGGGTGCTCGCTTGGGTTTATATGGGCGAGAGCGTCCTTCAGTAAAAAGCCAATCATGCCCACGTTCTTAATTATCAGATCCAGAGCCTGCTTCTTCTTGTCTTTGCAATCCTGCACTAAAAGCGCCTCTATTGTTGGTACGAGTGCAATTGCTTCCATATTTTCAAAAAAACAAAACAAATTTAACCTCGGGCAAATCAGAATTAAAAGATCTGCAGCAGACAAACTGCATCAGAGAGAGATAAAAGAGCACACAAAGACACTAGATACGGTGTGCACAGTCTTTTTACTTTCTGTTTTTTGATCAGATAGCAAGGGACACATGGGCCTATTACAGTAATATGCTAATTAAAATAGTAATTTGTTTACAAGTGTAATCAATAGAAAAATAAGCTAATTGCAGTTCTAGAATGCCTCTGTGCTATCTGATGAAAAACACACGGATTAGAGATATAAAATAGATCTATCACATCGCAGTAATGTGCTGCTAACTACTCGCAGCTAGAGATTGCAGAAAGATCAAAAAAGGCAAACAGTAAAGTAGTATGCTGTCTTTAGATGGCAGATAGTATATCTTAAGTTGCACATTAAACTCTAAGTAAAATCACTGCTAGTTAAATCTGCTGCTGTTTCCCTTGGCTTACACTCATTAACTATGTCTTGGCTTATTGTCTAAAGAGCTCTACGTGTTTCTGTGTACTGGATAGACATTAAGCATAGCAGTAGATGAGTAAATTAATTTTTGAGCTAGAGTAGTAAAGTGTGCAAAACTATTCTCGGGTTATTCTGTGATTCTTATCTATCTTAGGCAGTGCACTCTATGGTAGTGCATATCTTTGGAGTATCCAGGGTGGACAGCTGTTTATTGAAGAAATTGTGCAGACTCTGTGGGTGGGTTTGATTTTTAGTTTTTCTTATTTGTTCAAGTTGTATTTATGAACCTCGTGAAGATCGTGGGAGAAAGAATTGCAAGCCAGGTGCTTGCCCTTGGGCACTCAGAGAAAGAGTGGCGCGTTCTTATCATAGACCACTCCACTGCAAAACTTCTGCACCACGCTCTGCCGATGAGCGAGGTACTTTCTCGGAACATTGCAATGGTGGAGAGAATAGAAGAGGCTAGGGCACCGTCCAATGACTTCAGTGCCATATACTTTATCAGCGCAAATGCACAGAACATCAAGAAAATAGAAAAAGACGTATCAGACAAGCTGTACAGCAGTGTTTTTGTTGTTTCGATCACTGAAATACAAAAAAAAGAAGAAAATGCGCTTGAGAGTTTAGCGAAGAAGGCAGAGAAGCAGAGGGCCAAAGGAAACTCGGAGTTTGGGTTTATGTACAAAGCCGTGCTTTTTGACTTTGTTCCCCTGGGCGAAGATCTGTTCCACATAGAGACGCCATACTCCTACTACACCGATAAGGAAAGATATTTTAGCGATATCACAAAAAAAATAAAAGGCGTGTACAGAACAGTTCAGGTAAGATGCACGCCCATTCCCGTGGGGCTCTACGCTAAAAAGCTGGCGGAGCAGATAGAGTCCACAGGCCCTGGCAAGCTGGTGATTATGGAAAGAGGATCAGACATGAACACGCCGCTCATGCACACTTTTACATTTGAAAGCCTCCTGTGGGACCTAGGGCTCTCGGGCCCCGGATACGTCGTAGAAAAAGTAGAAGAAGAGGCTGAAAAAAACGAAGAGGAAAGTGACGACACAGAAGACGAAAAAAGGCTGGAAATGAACGAGAGCTACCAGGTGTGGGAGAGCGTAAGGAATAAACAGCTTGTGGAAACACACAAAACGCTCACAGGGCTGATAAGAGAAGAAACAGAGTCAAGAGAGAAAGAAGGAAAGACAAACATAAAAAAACTTGTCAAGGCAGTGCAGGAGCTGCCTTCGCAGACACGAACACTGAAAGAGATAAAGATATTAATGGGCCTTCTCGAGAAGTGTGTCAGCTTTTTCAACTCTCTTGGGATAAAAGAAGCTGCAGAGCTGGAGCAGGGAATATCCACGGGAAAAGACTTCAAAGGAAATAATTTTAAGCCCGTAGTGACAAAAACGCTTTTTAGCGTTCTCAAAGAGTCAAAGCTTACAAAAAATGAAAAGTACAGATTGTATCTTCTGTACCTTCTGAACTACGGAAACTTGCAGAGAAATGAAGAGAAAAAGCTCATCATAAAAGGACTGATATCGCAGAAAGACGTGGAGCATGGAGAGGTCGTCAAGACACACCTCTCGGGCCGGGCCATCAGCTCAATATCAAAGAGGAGTTTGCCAATAGCCAGACATGTTCCGCTGGTCGTAGATGTTCTGCACGCAATAATCAATAAAGATAGTGCACATTGTAAAAAGCTGGAGATAGATCTGCCAGACAGCACAGATGCACTGACAGGCGGGTCTTTGAGAAAAAGAGAGTTTGTGTTCAAGGCAAACCCATCGTCAGAGAATGTGCACAAAAGAGTTATAGTGGTGTATTTCATAGGAGGAGTGTCCATTGCTGAAATATCTGAAATTCGGGAAATAGCAAAGAACACAGGAAAGAAAATCCTCATTGGGTCAACTGATGTCTGCTCACCAAACACCTTCGTGGAAACACTGAGAAAACTTTCATAGATGGTTTTAATTTAAAATACTGCATTGATGCTGCATATCAGAATATTTATACGTTTATTAACTCTATAATCACTGATTGATCTTAAAATGTAGAAATATCAGAAGATGCTAAATCTGGATGTTTTGATCTAGGACCAGTCGTCTATGTATTTTTTCATGTTTGGATGGGCGTCTTCAAAATATGCTGAGACGGCAGCCATTGCCCCCTTATTCCCGCATATGTATAAGTCATTAAAAAATTGTTTACACTCATCGTCTATTTTTTCTTTGTTTTTAGCAAGAAAGTCGTGCATTCTGAGGCACATGCTCTCTCGAGAGTAGACCACGTGAACATCGGTAGGTCCTACCCGAAAAAGAACAGCGCCCGCATACTTTGACTCCTCACCTGGGCCTGATACAAGCCCGATTTTCACTAAAATATTTTCATCTCTATTTCTACACCCGTAAAACAAGCTAAACTTGCAGGAACTTCCATGGTTTCGAATAAATGAGATAAAAGGAGCTACTCCTGTTCCTATCCCAAACAGCAGCGCATTTGTCGTTTCTTCTCGTAGTCTCAGAAGTCTGTTTGCCTTCAGCTGTATTCTGTAGGCTATACTAGAGTCAAATATTCGCATATTTTTATCTGTGTCCTCTGCTGTTTCTGTCTTCTCACGAGAATTAGCGGTGCTTACAGCATACTCCGAGAAGTGTCCGTTTCTTGTGCTTTCCTCTGTGCTGTTCGATATAACTCCTACTATGAGTTCAATGTCGTTTTCCTTCTTATTTATTAGCGAGAAGGCCCTGGGCTTGATTTCTGTGCACACTTCTAGCAGCACTTCCAGGGGAACTTTTACTCTAAACTGTATTAGAATATCAATAATACTATTCCAATTTCTGATCATCATGAAATATTCTGCACTCCCTTCCTTCGATGATAAATATGCTAGTTTATCTTTTTCCTCTTCACAAGCATACTCGGATAGTCTGTATAGGAACAGCTTAGAGGGAAGAGACGTAGTGTCTAGAAAGTGTCTAAAGTAGTCGGAGGCCATCCCCGCGAAAGAGAACACAACTGAGGAGGTGCGGTTGTGGATCCTCTGAAAACTAATCCACCGATCAGCCGGTACATCCAGCAGCTCCATTAGCGTATTGGCGATGCTTTCAGAGTTGGACACCCACAGCAGAATGGAGTCTCCTGGGACGTATTCGATCTTTCTGTCTCTAACTGTCATTTTTATTGAGGTTTGTCTGCCGGCGTAAAGTGTTTCTGTGTGAAATGTGTAAATTGTAGATGGGTTTAGCTGGGTCTCTTGAGAAGCGCTGCTAGTGCTGGTTTCAGCCATTGTGTGCTTGTCTTTGTAGAGCACCAGACTCTCTCCATCTTTGCACTTTGTTTTTTCTGCAAGAGACACAGAGTGCAGCCTGGTGAAGGTGTGCGGCTTCCTCTCTGGCGTGTATGCAGAGGTGGAGATAGCCCTTGCAATATATTTTTTGTGCATAAATTTTTTCAAGTCTTTCAAAAAGTATTTTTATTTTCATAGGCTATGTTTCAACTCTACAGGGAGAGCAACATCGGGAAGGCTTTCCAGGACACGATAGAAGAGAAAATCAACTCGCAGATAATTACTCCGCAGCAGGGAAATGCTTTGCTGGAGAAGTTTGACACTGCGGTAGAGCAGGTTTTCAATAGAAGCGTCCACAATAAAATGAGCTTCAAAGCGTCAATAATAAGCTACAAGAACTTTGCAGATGTTTGGACTTTTGTTGTTAAAAATTTTGTTATGACAATCAACGACGAGCTGGTGCGGGCGGATAGAGTGAAAATTGTAGCATGCGATGCAAATATAAACAGTGAAAGAACGACGCGCGGAAAAGCACCGGACAAGAAGAAAACATTTTAGCATAAATAAAAAGTCTATACTGTACACATCGCACTCTTTTAGATGCTGTTCTTTTGCTGTCTGTTTTTCATCCTATTCTCTTGTCTGCTGTTGATTAGATTGTCTAGAGATGCATATTGCTCATATAGAAGCATTCAAATGGATTCTGTATGCGAGAGAGAATTTATACAGTGTAAAACAGTGCACTACAAAGTAACAGAAGAGTGAATACTTTCTGTGTATAGCCAAAGAATAAGCCTAGATGTAAGAGCTCTTGGATGTTCGATAACAGTGAAATATAGCATGGTAATTACGCTAAAACTTTTCACAAATTCTTTTTCCTTCGCAAAGTGTACACAATTAATTTTAACAAAAGGTTTATTTGAACTGTTTCTGCCCTACTGGCTGCTGGGGTTTTCAAAGTACAGATTGGTTATTTTTTCTATTATTTTCTCGTGCCCTTCTTCCGTGGTTGCCGTGTGTCTTAGATCCATTATTTTAGAGACAAACGCTCTGAGCTCTGATCTCGTAAAAGAGCATTTGTCATCTGCAGAAAATTTGCTGTCTTTTGCAGACCGGCTGCATATTCCGCTCTTCAGGAGAACATCTATCTTGGTTCTTTCTCTTGGCTCGCGCACCAGACACTTCTGGATCTCTGCAATAATAGCCGGGTATCCGTTATCGTCTTCTTCCTCTTGCGGCATTTCCACGACGTACTCGGGGTCCAGCAGCTTCTGCATTCTTTGCACCAGGTTATTGAAGCGCATAAATGGCGATTCTCCAAAATACATTTCATAGAGAATGCAGCCCAGGGACCATATGTCGCTGTTTCTCCCCATCTTTGTTTTTCCCTCTATGATGGCCTCGGGCGACATGTAGTTGATGGTTCCTATCTGTTTCTCTCTGATGATGTTTGTTGTGTCGTTGCGTATCTCGTTTGAAATACCAAAGTCAATGAGCTTGAGTCTTCCATTTACAAAGAGAAAGTTCCCGGGCTTCAGGTCTCTGTGGACTATTCGGTGCTCGTGTATGCACTTCACTGCGCGCAGCATCTGCTCCCACAGACTGATCATTGTGTAGTTTTCGTTGCTCTTTCTGTACCCGCCCGGGAACTTTGCTTTTTCAAGCTCGAGAAATCTGCAGAGGTCTATATCTCCGTACTCCATGAGAATCGCTATTCTGTCTCTGTTCACGTAGCTGTCTTTGAGCGTAACTATCTCGTGTCTGTTTTTGAGTCTTTTGAGAAACGATATTTCATTGACGTAGCTTTTGTACACTTCGCTGTCTTCTGTTTCCTGCGATATTTTTATCTTTTTCAGAGCAAACACTTCGTTTTTATCCGATAGCACCTGGTACACTTTTGCACTCCCTCCTTTGCCTATTGTGCGGAGGATTCTGAGTCTTCTTCCATTCAGCGTAATTTTCTTTGGAGCCGTTAAGTTAAAATACTTGTCTGCTGAAGAGGCCTCTGCACTTTCTTTTTCCCTGGGCTTTGCTGACAGCGCAGGGCTTTCTGTTAGCTCTCTCCCTATGGGAAGATCAAACACATCGCCTGTTGAGGTTATTGTGCCTGATTGCTTCTTTCTTATTTCGCTTTCTGCGATCTGTGCGCTTTCTGAATTTTTTGCATGCAGCTCCCTTTGCTCTCTTCTTTCTGTGGGCCCTGTATCATAGTACTGCTCTTCTTGTTTGTGGTGATCAGACGGTGTTTCTGTGTTTTTGTCTATATTTTCTCGGGTGACTGGGCTTATGTTCTGGCTTGATCTTTCTAAGAACGCGGCTCCATCGCCCAGCAGCATTGCACTGTGCTTGTACTCATGGGGCATTTCTACTGCGCTATTGTAAGGCATGGGCATGACTAAGCTATCTGATCTCGAATACTCTATTTCAGTATTACCTTGCACAGAAGAATTTACTCTACTCTGAACAAACTCTCCTTCTGCTCTGTACTGAGAGTTGTTAGTGCTAATATGATTACTTTGTGAATGTTTTGCTGTTTTATTTCTCGGGTTGTAATCACCGTTATATTCCATTCTATTGCTGTTTCTGTACATGTACTCAACTCCATCACTCTTTTGGTTGCTGCTTCTTACTTCGTTATTTCCTTGGTTATGTACAGTGTACTCCATTCCATCTGCACTACTATTATATCTCATTTCATTATCTGTTTGATTTATGTATCTTACATTGCCATTTGTAGCACTACTGTATCTATTCCCATCATTATCATACTGAATGTCTGCGGATATATTTGGAGAGCTGTGTGTGTATCTACCAGGCCCTGGGTTGTTGGCATAGTACGCACTCTCTCTCACATATCCTTCTGGGATTATTCTCGTGTGTTCACCTGTGTATCCCATCCTGCTATTTTCTGCAATGTTTGTGCTTGCGTGAGACGAAATAGACATTCTCGGGCTGTATGAATGTGCGGTGTTTGTCTGAGGCATATTTAAAGAGCCATGCATGCTCTCTGTGTACAGGTGGCTTTTAGGCGTCTCAGGTTACATATAGATGCTCTTTGTTATGTTGTTTTCTTTTGCTGATCCTATTGATTTTTCTCTAATCCACTGCAAAATCTTCTCTTTCTCCAGACACTCCTTGTACTGCAAAATGTCATTTGCAAGCTCCAGGACTTTTGCTCTTTTGCTTTGGTCTATGGGAAGACGGCTTTCGTAGCCGAACCAACCCTTCCAGAAGGGCAGGAATCTCCAGAACTTGCTTTTGAGCATTTTGTACACCTCGCGGATCTCTGAGTGGCCGTACCCATTTTTTTCCAGAGTGTCGATGTACCCCTCCCACAGCGAATAGGTTTTTTCATTGGTTTCCAGATTCTTCTGCGTTGCCTCGTAGTACATAGAGAGCTGCCGCGTTGCGCTTGCGTTCCTCTTCTTCTGCTCCTCGATATACGCAAGAATCTCCTCTATTTGAAAGAGCCGCTCCATCTGTAAATAAAAAAGTAAACTTAGTTGTCTTTATTACTTCCCGCTTTGCTATTTTATAAAGAAGGATTTTCAGAAGGGGTGTCTGCACTCTTTTTGTTCTTTTCTCTTTCGTACGAGTTTCTTAGAATCTCTGCATGCTCCTCGAGAATTATTCCGTACTTTGGGAGAATTTCCACTATCTTTTTTGATTTTCCTCTATCTTTTGTTGTTATCATTGAGAACACGTGCTGTGCTGTCTGGTGCATTGCGATCAAGTGCATGGTTCTATCTGTTCCCTCGTACGCTACCACGCACTTTGTGATGCTTCTCACTGTTTTGAAGGTGCTTCTTCTGATTATTTTCAGCAGCTCAGCGTGCGTTGTTATAAAAATCCACTTTTTTCTGCTTAGATATTCGCTGATGTCTGCGGTGCTTTTATTTACCAAGCTGCCAACGCTGTCGATTGCCTCCTGGACATCTTCTATCTCGCTTTCCTTTTCGGTGAGCACGATGCACGGGACTGTGATGTTCCGCTCCAGGGCAATAACAAAAGCATTTCTTCTGAGATGCGGCGCTCCTGCAAATATTATTTCGTGTGTTCGTGCGAATGCCAGAGAGCTTCGTGCAAGACCAAATCCCTCTTTCAGAGGCAGCACTCTTTTTACGCCAATTTTTTTTAGCTCTTCCGTGCTTTCTATTTTGTATATGTTGCTAACAAAGTAGAAGCTGTACTCTTTTTTCTTTCCCTCTGATATGATAGTCTCTTTGTCTGCGGACTTTCGGATGTTCACAAAGACAATGTGCGATCTGCTGTTTTCGATGCTTCTGTCTTTTAAGTACTGGCTGTACGTGCACAGGATCAGAGAGCCCTCTGCGGGCATGTTTGAGCTGCTGCTATTTTCTGCTGATTCATCAACAAGAGATATTTCTATATCGGGATATTGCTCTTTTACCTCTTCTTTTATTTCTTCCAAATATCCGTGCGATGGCTTGTCTACCACTATCGCTGCCTTCTTTATATCTATCTCCTGCAGCAGTTTGCTGCCTACCAGCCGGTCCTCTCTGAGCATTATGTCTCCTTTTTCGTACGAGGGAATTTCTCTACACCGTCTTTCTTTTCCCATAAAAAAAAGTCTTTCATTGTTTACATGTACAGCATGCGCGTGGATGATGGAAAAGAAGAAAAAACAAAGAAGCCAGCAGACAGCAGCTCTTTGAACAAAAAAATACTCTCTATGCAGATAGACAAGAAGGAGACGCAGAAACACATAGTCGAGTATTTTTCTGAATACGGATACCACAGGGCTTTCTGCAGCTTCAAAAAAGAACTCGATCTAGACGCACAGCCCGCCCCTTTGCTCCTGGAGCGAGATGAAATTCGCAATTTTTCAAATGAGGGCAGTTTTTTGCAGATTATAGAAACGGTCAAAAACGCGATACCCTGCATATTTTTGGACCACCCCAACCTCATTTTCTCTCTTTTGGAGCAGGACATCCTTGAAGACCTGTACATCCGCGTGGGCTCAGAGAGCTCTGCGCTGCACAGAGTTGAAAAAGAGCTCACGCCGATTGTGCTGGAAAACTCTGCGCTCACTCAGAGTCTCGAGAATTTGGTGTCGTCCATTGTGTTCTCGCAGTCTTCGCAGGAGGCCGTGGTGGCAAACAGAGAGGCAGTGTTTATGCAGATAAACAAAGCAATGCTTTTGCACCTAGACTACATCATGAAAGACTCCATAAAACTGCTCCTTGACGATGTGGAGACCGTCTCAAAACAGCCCGAGATTCAGACAATAATAAAAAGTTGTGCAACCCTTGAAAGGGCCATAAAGTCCCTGTGCAGGAGCTGAGATAGAAGACGTACCTGATGCAGTTTTTAAAACTAATTGTAATAAATTTTTGTAAAGATGGAAAAGTTTTACTGCTCTACTAAACACTGCTAGAAGTAGAGCCAAACAATTTGAGAATATTTGTTGAATTGTCCAAGCAAAAGAGTATAAAATTGTTTTTATTTTAAAGGTGTCATTTAAATAGCTTTGCAGGCTTTCTTTTCTCTAGGAGTCTGTCCACAAGTGCGGGCAGTATATCGTTATGACTCCTGTGGCGGGGTTGAAGTTCGCTGATTCTATGGCAGCGCCCTTTGGAAGATTGGCAATCACCCGAGACTGTATGTTTATGAAGCACGGATCTGACTCTGTGAGGGTTTTCATCGATCCTGTGCTGTGGCTGTACGGAATGACATTCTCCAATATAACCCGAATCGCTTTGTTAATGCCCTGCCCAGGCGGCATTCTCTCTTCGTCGTAGCTGAAGAATATGTACGAGTCTTCTATGTTCACCATCGACGTGATTGAGTCCAAGTCTATGTTATTAAGATCTACCTCCTCCTGGAACTCCACTCTCCCGTGGTTCTTTCTCCCTATCACAAATCCAGAGATCTTTCTGTTTTGCATTTTTTTGATTTGTGCAATGGAGGGAATTGTGTAGTACTCATTCTCCTCTATCTCCTCTAAGTATGTCTCGTTCCTCTTTTCTTTCTCCTTCCCCTTCATAGACACGAACTCTTTGAAGCTTCCCATTGCCTTGAACTTGATCTTTGGTGTCGCTGTTTTTTTAAATAGCGGTGCAGGTATTTCCATAACTGTTTTTTTCTGGTACTCTTCGCACTCTTTGAAGTCCAGCGATTTGATAAGGTACGGATCATTGCTGGAAGACGCAGAGGCAGATGCTGTTTTGCTCTCTCCCAGTAGCGCGCTAGACCCCAGAGCACCTCCCACGCCAAATGAGCTCGTTGGCTGTGTCTGCAAGCTCCCTGCTCCAAGGCCTCCTCCCAAAGAGGAAATACCGCTGCCAAATGAAGAGCCAAAGGGCGATGATGTTTTATTTGCATCCAGCGAGCTGCTTTCCAGGGGCTTAGAGAGCGAGAGCCCCAAGCCGCCTCCAAATCCTGTCTTAGCTGCATCCTGTGCAGAAGAGCTTGCACCGAATGAAAATGCAGATGGTGCACTGCTGCTCAGGGGCTCAGCGGGCTTATTCCCCAATCCCCCGAGTATTCCCGAGGCTCCTGCAGGCTGCAGTGCGCTTTGCCCCGATGAGAACCCAAATCCACTCCCGAGCTGCTGGCTTCCTCCGAGCTGTGTCTGAGTGCTTCCCATCTGCTGGCCTCCAAAGCCTCCACTTCCCAGCGCATTTGATCCTGCTGCTTGTCCTAGGCCTGAGCTGCTCCCTAAGCCACCAAATGACGGCGTATTTGACCCTGCTGTCTGTGCTCCCAGCTGGGAGAATGGTGAAGATGTTTGACTCTGTGTACTTAGTCCTGTCCCAAGCGCACTCTGCGGCTGGAGACTGAACGCAGAGCTGCTCCCTGTGCTGCCCCCCAAGGAAAATGCGCTGGGAGGCCGAGGAGTCTGTGCCCCAACTCCCAGCATCCCCAAGGTGCTTTGGCTATTTGTGCTGCTCATTCCCCCCAGGCCCCCAAATGAAGAGATTCCCAGGCTGGGGGACTGCTGTGCCATGCTTGTATTCGATCCGAGGATATTTGCATTATTCGAGAATGCACTGGACATATTCTGCTGTGTAGACGATGGTGATGAGAAAATACTGGGAGTTTGCTGCCCCTGGCTCTGCATCCCTCCTGCGGGTTGGCCAAATGACCCAAAGCTCCCCATGGAGGAGGTCTGTGGCTGCTGGAACGAGCTGTTTGGCTGCTGGCCCAGGAATGAAGAGTTTTGGTTTTGGATAAAAGAACTATTTTGACTCTGTCCAAACATGCTCGTGCTTTGCGGGCTGGATGAGAATATGCTCTGTGCAGGAGGTCTTTGCTGCGATGAATACCCTGACTGTGCGAGCGATGCAAAGCTGCTTGTTGTTTCAGGTTTTTTTTGGCCAAATATTCCCCCCATCAGATCAGATGGCTTTTGCATGTACGAGGTTGGGCTGCCGTATGTGCTGTGGTATCCGCTCTGTCTTGCTACAATTGTGCCTTTTCTTCCTTTTTTGTAATCTGCGCACCGCAGCTCCTCCAGCGAGTATGGGCTGTATCTTTCCATTGAAGTGATGCAGTTGCTGATGCACTGTATGCCGTTGTCCATTTTCTGTCTGATGGAAAAGGGCTCAATTGAAGTGTCCAGGACGGTGGGGGATATCTTAATTGGCGAGCTATCCTGCATCTGGCTGCCGAATCCGCCGTGTGGCTGGTGCATGGAGTACATACTCCCCGAACCAAAGGAATTGCCGTACATGTCTTGGTTCTGTCTTTGGAGCGGGCTTGACCCGTAAAACCCCGATGAATATCCGCTTTGGTTTTGTTGTCCTCCGTTCATAGGAAAAATAAAATTTGCACACTTTAATACTGCGGCAGCAAAGGCAGAAATAGTGCGGCTGTGCTGCTGCAAAAAGAAAAAAGGAAAAAAGTGGCAAGGTGGATATTTTATTTATCTACGAAAGTTAGTGAATATATGCTTGCACATTGGTTGAGCCGCTCTTCTCTGATGGCAATAGCAGTATATCTAAAAACAAAAATGTTGCAAAAGTGCAGATCTTGTCTCAGTAAGAGAGATGGATAATAGAGTAGATGTTAGTTTGATCAATTGTTATCTCTAGAGATGCATTTTCAACTATCTGAGGAAGCAATTTAGAAGTTTTCCAATTGACTCTCTGGCTGTGCTATATCACTATTGCTTCTTCGGTGTTTGCTGAAACATCACTGTCTTTGCTGGAGATAAAATAAGAGGTATATGTTCCTAGATAGATAATATATATTACTATGCCCAGTATCATAGATAAAAATAAAATTGTGCAAATGTTGGTTATTGTGTTTGCTATAAGGTTTCTTCTAAAATGTAAGCTAGACATTCTTTCTGCTGTTTCTATTTCAGGGCGCGAATCAGGGTTTACATTTACTTCCTGTTCTGTGTCATTGTGAGCGGATACCACAAACACTTTTTGTCCTTTTCCCCGGTCTCTTGGTAATTCTACATCTGTAAAATCCTTGGGATTCAGCTGTATAGAGAATCTTTCTATTCTTTTTTCACCTCTTGCCTCTTCCTGTGTGGCACAGACAATTCCAAGGCATGCTGCAAAGATAAGAATAATGTAAAAATTTAGTCTGTTCATAATTGCAAAACACTCTCAGGCTTTATACTTTCTGCTTTTATCAAATTGCTCTAATCAAGACTTTAATCTGTCATCATTGCTTCGCCATCAAATAGATATCTGCGCAATTAAAACGTGTACAGATGAGACAGTATGCATATAAATGACTGAGTGTGGCAAGTATGGATGTCTCTGGATAAGTTTTTTCGTTTATTGGCACTTTTAACCGTATATTTTCCATTTAAAGCAGCTCAGTCGAAAAGCCCTGCATTGAGCTCTTTAAGAAGGTCTTCATACGTATCCACTCGGTTGTTTTCCTGTGCAGCCACTGACTGCGCTTCATTTTTCTCTGTGCTGTTTTTTAATAAAACTGCAGAAATGTCCACATAGAACGTTTTAAAGTTTCTGTTGAAAATGAAAATAGACTCTTTTTCATCTGTGCAGAGAACTGCAAACACTCCGTTGTCTTCGCATAGTCTAACAGAGTCTATGAGCTTTTTAGACTTTGCGTGCACAATAAGCATCTCGTTCTGAGTGGTGCATATGTAGTACTTTGTTCCTTTGAAGGTATAGACCGCTATTCCCGTTATTTTTGTGTCAGCTATCTTTGCTATCTTTTCAATCGCGCAGTGTTCAGGCTCTGCTACGCTGTTCAGCTTCAGAATCCACCCACCAATGCTTCCAGCAACTCCATCTGACTTTTTATCTAAAGAGATAATTGTCTCTGTGTGATTTACATCCCTCAGCAGTTCAACTTTACTTCCCTCGTCTACTAGAAGGCCATCTCTTATGGAAAGATAGTTCACAGTATAATCAGTCACTGTTATCACTCTATTTTGCTCTGAGATTGCATGTAGTGGCCATGTTCCGGTGCTTACACTATTAACCACCCTATCTTGCACAAGGTATGCCCTTGACATATCGTGCACTATGTACCCATTCCTTGTACAAAGTATGTGCTTAATGGGGTATGATCCGCTAGACACTTTTATTTTTCTTCCATGAATGTAAACATTTCCGTCCCAGTCTCCTATAACATAGCTGCGCAAAGAGCTGCACTTGCACTCTTGTGTACATTTACATCTATTCTCTATTTTATGTTTGTACTTTGAAATCTCTGCAGTGTCTAACACATTCTCGTCTGAATACTCTGTGGATGTTTTTAAATTTTCTACTGATGCCATACCATTCGCATTTGGAGCATCTTTTGTGTTTCCACAGATAGATTCACTTGGCATATCATCTACATTGCTTGCATCTGTTCTATGCACAGGAGCACGCATGATAAAAGAGACAGGGGGGTTTATCCTTCCCACTAGCTCTGTAGCATTTTCTGTTATTCTGTAGACTCCTCCATGGAATCCGCCGTATGCAGATCCGTCATCTGAAATGCATGTAAGCTTTTCTTTGTGTGCTACTGAGGAGACTTTAACCGGGCAGTGCTTTAGCGAGAGAACGGTGTAGAAATTCATTAAGCAAAAATTTCTTTTGAAGCAATATGAAAGAACAAGGAAGTAGAGCAGAAGAAGTAAAAAAACGAGTAGCCTTGGTGATACAGTCTATCCGATCGACCATGGGAACAAGCTTGGGCCCCAAGGGAATGGACAAGATGATAACACAGGGCACGAACACCACGATAACAAACGACGGAAGTACGATCCTGAAAACAATGAAAATGAAGCATCCTATTGCACAGCTGATATGCAATATATCGCACTCTCAGGACGAACAGAGCGGAGACGGAACGACAAGCATTACGCTGCTTTTGTGCTCTTTTGTGGAGCAGGCTTTGGAGCTCACACAGAGAAAGATCCATCCAGTGATCATTGCTGAGGCTATGGAAGTAGCAAAGAACGTGTGCAAAGACGTTCTAATGGCCAATGCGTCAAAGATTGAGGGGCACGGGGACGTGAGAGACTGCATTCGCGTGTCGCTCAACTCGAAAATAGTCAATGCATACATCGAGAAAATAACGGAAGTAACGATGAAGGTGATAGAGCACAGCACAGACAAGAAGACACAGGACCTCAAGCTGAGCAACGTGCGAAGAGTGAAAATAAAGGGAAACATGGAAGAGACAGAAATGGTCTCTGGAATAGTGCTCTCTGCTCCTCTGAAGAAAAACATCAAGTTTGTTCCGCGGAAAATGAAAGTGGCTATTTTCCAGTGCACAATCGGGCAGTCAAAGCCGTCGATAGACTCGAAGATAAAGATAGGCAACTACGAGTCGGTGGAGCAGGTGATCAGGGAAGAAAAAGCACACGTGCTTTCTCTGTGCAAGAAAATAAAAGAAAAAGAGATAGACTTAATAATCCTGCAAAAAAGCATCATAAGAGAGTCGCTTTCTGAGCTGGGCCTGCACTTCCTGGAGCGAATGGGCATCATGATTGTGGATGATGTGGAGAGGAAAGAGATCGAGCTGTGCGTGGAGCAGATGGGAATTACGCCAGTGGTGGACATAAACGAAATACAAGAAAGCATGATTGGGGAGTACCACGTTGAAGAGCTTGAGGGGCATGTAAAAATATCTGCAGGAGAAGGCGTGTGCACTGTTGTGCTGCGAGGAACAGACGATGTTATTTTGGAAGAGGTGGACAGAAGCTTCAACGATGCTGTGAATGTTGGAAGACTCGCAGTGAAGAGGCCCCTAATAACGTACGGTGGAGGAGTCTCAGAGCTCTTGTGCTACACTGAGCTCGTGAAGTACAGCGGATCGAGCAACCCAAAGATAAACTACTGTGTGAGAGAGCTTGCAAAGGGCCTTTTGATAATACCCGAGATGCTTGCAATCAACGCAGGCGCAAACTCCATAACAACGGTTGAAAACTTGATAAAGCTGCACAGCCAGGAGAAAAAGACGTATGGTGTATCTATAAAGGCTGTAGGAGAAGGAAACATGAAAAAAGAGAATGTAGTGCAGCCTGTGGATGTTTCCATTTCAGGCATCTCAGGGGCCTTTGACGGAGCCTCAACAATCATCAGGATAGACGACTTTATACCCGCATCCAAATAAGAAAACAGACGCAGAATACTCCATTCTATCTATCTATTCTATTTATTAATAAACGATCTATGAAGAAGCTGCATATTTCTGGCAAACTGCTATTTACTCTATTTACTCTGTGTGGCAATTTATTCTCAAAATGCATCTAAATTAGTGTATACTAGCTACTATACCTCTGTGGAGAGATCTAGCACCCTTTCAATCTTATCTCAGTAAGCTCCTAATGCTCTTACTGCATGTTTGTTTTTCTGTGTGCTGTATGTAAAAGAATAAAAGTCTCAGTGTTCTACTAAAAATTTTAGAAAGTTTAGCAATTGGTACAGAGTGTCTCTTGTGTAAGTTTAATAAACAGTTTTTTATTTTTACAAAATAATTATTCTACCACCACAAATAATTATGTTTCTATAATGTAGAGTCTCCTATTTACAAAGAAAGCACAGATAGAAACTAAGTTTGGTAAACTACCATTTACGACACAATGGCGCTTTTGCCTTTATCTGCAGCCTTAGCTTCCTCCTTCTTTTTAGAGGCACCAGAAGCACTGGCGCTAGCTCCCTTTTCTTCAGCAGCACTAGCAGCTGATGCAGACTCTTCCTTACTTTCAGCAGAAGCAGACTCAGAAGCAGAAGATTCACTAGCTGATGCTGATGCAGACTCTGATACTTCCTGTGTTTGCTGCTCCTCAGCAACTTCTTCTTGCACTTCCTCAGTAACAGATTCAGAAGACATAGACTCGCTAGTTTCACTCGCTGCACTATCAGCCAGAGTTTGAGTTATGAATAGGCTTGCTAGTAAAAAGCACACGACTAGAATTGTAAACTTGCTGGACATATTCTGCTTTTGTTTTTCTCTATTTATTCTTTTGCCTCTGTTCTAGGCACAGCTCCATCACTCTCAGCTCCCAATCACCTTGTTTTCTGTTTTTTAGATATTTTTGCCAAAGCCTTAGAACAATCTAATCAAAAAGACCGCAAAAAACATTGGACACTGCAGAGCCCAATAGTTCAGGTTTTCTAAAATTTTAGTAGAGCCGTCTTATTTTGAAAATGCGGAAATTTATTTACTCCTATTTTAATATTGTCAGTTTCTCACTGCTGCGCACCCAGGCGCCTATCTTCACCTGCTCGTCGATGCATGCGTCTATCTCTGATACACAGAAACGGCTTGCTTCTTTGTAGATGGCTCCAATGTCCAGGACTTTGTACGACTCCATGTCCTCTCCTGCCATAGACAAAATAGTATCGTAGATTCCATCAGAGTCGCATCCAAGGAGGCGGAGAACCTCTTCAACATCATCCACGGTTACTGTGCTTCTTCTGTTGGCCTTTGCAAGAGCCTGCGAGAACCTGAGCACAGACAAAACTCTTCTAGCGGTTCCCGGGAGGCCCTTTCCAGGCATTCGAGCATCTTTTGCTCTCTCTGAGGAATACGCAGCAACGATCCTCTCCTGCACTCCTTCGCCCAAAACAGGCTCAATGTTTTTACATTTGTTTATTTCTGAAGCCAGTTTTTCCGTTGAAAGAACCCCTGAAATAACGCCTTTGCTCTTGTGAACGCCCAGCACGTGTCTGCATATCTCTGCATCTTTCTTTCCAGCCACATCCTGTATAATTTTGACAGCATCAAACCTCGAGATAAGAGCCGTGGGAAGGCCTGCATTCCATGCAATGCCCTTTTTCTCAATGTATCTTCCCTTGATGGGGTTTGCAGCTGCGAGGACAGAGCATCGGGCATTCAGCGTGGTGTTTATCCCTGCCTTCGATATGCTGATCCTGTGCTGCTCCATTGCTTCGTGCACACACGATCTGTCGCTTTCGTGCATTTTATCGAACTCATCGATGCAGCAAATGCCTCCATCGCTCATAACCAAAGCTCCTCCCTCGAGGATGTGCTCGCCTGTCTCTGGATCGCGCGACACACACGCAGTAAGCCCAGCCCCACTGGCGCCTCTTCCCGTGGTGAATATTCCTCTTGGAGAAAGCTTGCACACTGCCTTCAAAAGCTGACTTTTTGCCATGCCTGGATCACCAACTAAAAGAATGTTGATTTCTCCCCTTATTCTCAGCCCGCCCTCTGTGCAGGTATCTCCTCCAATGAGCATGAGAAGTAATAGCTTCTTTATATCCTCAAGCCCTGATATTTCGGGGGCCAGGGACTGTATGAGCACCTCGATGGGAATGGATGGCTCAGACATACCATCACTTTCTGAGCTCTGGTGATTTTCCACTTTATGTTCTGCGCCAAAGTTTGAATTTTGTGCTGCATTCTCATCTGCGGTATTTTGTTTTCGCACTGCTGTTTTTTTTATGGGGCACACATACGATCCGAGGATGTACGTATCACTCAGCAGGCCCATGAGCATTTTCTGGATGCCTTCATTCGCCTTTGGCATGTATATCCCAGAGACAATTACCTCAGTCCCAGGAACAGCTGTCCTCACAAGATCATCGTACACCTCTACGTCCAGGGTTCTTGGCACTCGGCCGGGCTCCACTTCTGAGGATATCTCCTGTATCTTGAAGATCTGTTTTGATCTAAACTTTGAAGATCTTGTCTGCAGATGGAGAGTTCCCTTTGTGCGCCCTGTTCTGCACCGCTCAGAGGGACACTCTGTTAGAGGGAGGAAAGTCTCGCCCTCTACCTCCTGGAATACTTCAGACGTGCAGGAGTCGCACATGAACACAGCCACTGAAATGGACGGGTGCACATCAGAGGCCTTACTTACTATGCCGCGCACACATATAAGCGACCCGATTATGCTCGGATCGACTGAGCTGAAGGGCAGGGCGTCTGTGCGGAATATGTTCACGCTGTAGTATCTCAGAATGTTTTTGGCAAGAACTTCAAAGACAGACTTGCTGGGATATCTCTCCAGAATCCGGGCTTTTCTGTGCTCAAAAAAGAGGTCTTCCTTGGGCATTTCTATTTCTTCGTTTTTTATCATTTCGTCAATTATTTCGTACACAATCTCCCTGTATCTTGAGGTGTTCTTCAGAACTTCAGCGTACAGCTCGGTGTTTCCGTCCTCAAGAATGTCTGAGGCCCATATGTTAATTGTCTTTGTTGTTGAAAGGGTTTTGATCTGTGCCATGTACTTGAGCACCTCGTTGCTTTCGAACGTAAAGAGGAACCGGCGCATTGTGTCTTTGCTCTGCGTGTAGTCGCTCTCAATTCTGTACGGCCGTAGGTCTTCCATGAAAAAATAAAATTGAAGGATTAATTAGCTGCAGGGAAAAAGAAAACACAGAGGAAAACGGAAGAGAAAAAGATGAAGCAATCAAAGATATGTAAACTGTGTTTATTTAGGCCTAACCACGTAAAGAGCATCTATTTTGTGAAGAACTCCTTTGACCAGCACCCCTGCATCGGGAGGGCTTCCCAGCTCAATGGTGTACAGAGTGCCATCGGCAGTGAACTCTGTGCCCACAGAGGCGCTGGGAGGGAGCGCAGAGAGCGGGAGGTTCTTTGGGAGCTGAAAAAGAATTTGCATGGGGAAAGAAAAAAAGAGGCTCTTAGCAGATTCGAACCACTGACCTTTGCTTTACGAGAGCAACGCTCTACCACTGAGCTAAAGAGCCACTATCTAGTAAGCAGCCATTGCCTATAGCCAAAGCGAGCACAGTGATATAAATAAACAAATTAATAAAAAGGAAATGCACGAAGAAGAGCACTGCAGAGCCGACTGCAGAGGATGCGGCAAATGCCAGGAAAAAAAGGCTCGGAAAATGGTAAATATAAGCGATGCATTTCTGTCCAAGGCGATTTACACAAAAAAGCCCACATACTACACAAACAAGTACATGGATCTCCTGGGCGCAGCGGAAACACGGCACGCGTCTCCCCCGTCTTTTCCAGAGACTCTTCCGTTTGGCTCAGCTGCAGGGTTTCCTCGGATGCGGGTGAAGCCGCCTGGGAGCGAGTTTGGAGGGGGTAGATACAGCAGTGAAGGCTTCTCAAAGCTCAACTCTCCGAGAAAGATACCTGTGCCCTCGGACCTGCCGTTTAGAGGGCCTGGAGTGCTGCAGGAAAGCCCGGGGAAGGAGAAGAGCGCGTTTCCAGGGAGCATGAAGAGACCCAGCGCATCTGCAGGGACTTCATTCTCTTTCAATGGCAGCGGAGGGGCAGGGGAGCCGTGGGAGACTGTGAAGAGACTTGGCGCTTCGTATGCGCATCTACCGCATATAAATAGAATGGGCAGTGCAATAGATAATAGCCCAAAGGCAAATACGCATCTAAGTGCCAGTGGGATAGATAGCGGATACGGCGCTATGTTTAAGAACAGCCCGGACTCTACGCTAATGTCTAGCCCCATTATGAACCTCTCCACGCCCCACGGCTTATCGTTCTTTAACAGCGAGCTGCAGACCGTAGATAGTCGACTGAATGTAACAAGTCCGTACGCGAGCAAAAGCTACCAGACAAAGAGCAGTCCTGGGCTGCTGAGCCAGGAGATAGGCGGAGGAGTGGGAGGGGCAGTATTCTCGCCAATTGAAGCACATGGCCACTCTAATGTGCACTCATTCAGCTCAAGCGGTATTTCGAATACTAGCGCCATAGAGGGAGAAGGATTCTATGGAGCGCTGCCGAACATTCAGGCTTTTTCAGAGAGCTCATTTGGAGGGCGGAGAGCAGAGGGCGCATCGAGCAGCATGTACAACCCGCTGCTGAGCAGTATGTACGATGTTTCGCAGATGTCGCAGCTACGGCACACGAGCATTCTGTCATCTGCAGTTATGCCGCTCATTGATGGGTCGATTGATTCAGCCAGGCAGCACTCTCGGCTGAATGAGGTGCTGGGCCTTCCAAAGATCCAGCCACACCACGTAATGCTCACAAAGAACATACTCAGCATAGTTATTTCAAATGGAGGGCTGCAGGTGGTTGACGAAAAGAATCTCTGGGGGATGGTTGCCAAAGAGATCGGCCAGAAAACAGACGATATCATGCGCCTTCGAATGTACTACATCATAGTGTGCTATCCGTACGAGCAGATTAGGCTGGTGCGCGCGCTCGCAGATGGCGTGGTACGAACACTGGTGATAGTGTACATTGATCCTAAAAAGGCAGACATTCTGCCGGATATTATTAGCCAGCTGGGGCAGAAGAAAAAAACAGAAGGAAAAACACAGAAAACAGTGAAGGTTGTTGAAACAAGCGGTATTCTAGAGGTTGTGGTGGCACTGAATGAGATGTACGTAAATGGAGTTAAGTCCAGCCACGAGCTGAAAGAGTCTCTGAGGAAGTTTAAAGGGCTTTCGTGCGAGTCAGAGGAGGCACGAGATGTACTCTCTTGCCAGGAGATGGCTCTCATTGAAATGCAGATGCGAGCTATTATGGCAGAGTGGGTGTCCAGGAAAATAGAGGAGGTTTCTTTAAAAGAAAAAGGGGTAGACAAAGAGGTTATAGAAAATTACGAAGACATGTTGTGTGAAATATTGAAAAGAGCTGAAAAAAGAGAAATAGCACAAAAAGCACCAGAGACCAAGGACAGTAAGGTAGAATGCTCTAGCTCAGAGAAGACGGAAAGCTCAGAGATAGAGAAAGAAAGTGATTACGTGGAAGTGAAGAGAGAAGAGAGAGAGGAAAGGACAGAAAAGCCGTTAGAAAAAGTATTAGAAGAGAAGAGTCACGAAAAGAGCCTCTCTTCAGATGCTTATCTCCCTAATGCAGAAGAGGAGAGCATGAAAGAGACAGAAAGTGGATGCACTCGTATGTGTGCTAGAAAGTATAGAGATTATAAGAGGCTATTGTATCTGTATCCTTGCATAGAGCTAAAAGATAGAGCAGATGTCTCTGTGAGAAAGTGCACACAGCACAGTATGTGCAGGATATACCAGAACAACTTTTGTCCATGTGGGAAAACAGCTATTAAGTTTGACACAGTGGCTGAAGAATATTACAGTGCTCTTGTGTTCTTAGCCAAATCAACAGCACTGCATGTTTCGTCTAGCACGGTTTCTCTTCTGGCAAGGATCTTAGAGCATCTCCCAGAAGAAGCGCTTTCTTTCAGGCACAGATATATATACAAAGGACTTATATCCCTGTGGAACATTCTAAAGGAAAAAGAGGCACAAGACTCGTCTTTTGTGGTGAATAAAAAACAGGCCAATGAGTGTTTTTCAAAAATAACAAAAGAAGTCAGAAAGCTTCTAAGCTCCTGCATCCTCTCAAGACAGGACATTCTTTCGGTTCTTTCGAACGGACAGCTGGAGGTTATTTTCAAAATAGCAAACACAAAAGATGGGTCGGTCATATTGGAAGAGGTAAGCCCTAAAAGACTTGCGGAAATATGGAGGTATCTACTGCTCCTAGTGTGCAAGGGCTTTTTCTCTGGCCCGCTTGAGACCCTCCAGGAAACAGCGCTTATTTGCTTGGATAAGCTCTCGATGTACCTGCACAAATACTTTATTAAGAACAAGATCTCCAGCGATGTTCTGGGAGTGATGGAGCTGAAGGAGGGAGACTGGATAGAGGACGTTCTCTCTTTTGACATGTTTGCAGAGTCTGTCTATTCCTTCTGCGACTTTCTTTTTTCGCCGCAAATACCATTGTAGAATAGTTTATTTGTCAATATTAAAATAATAAATGCGAATTCTTTTATTTAGCAGAGCTTTTGGTGACAGCCTGTCAACTGAAATCTAAACAGAGAGTGTCTTTTAGAGTAAAGTGTAGGCTATCTCTCCATCTACAGAAACTCACCGTTTAAGAGATTGGATGCCTAGAGAGACATCGCATATTTTATTTAAGTACAAAATGCACGAATTAGCAAATCTTCTGTGAAGGTATTAGTATGGCTGTGGACACACAGTGTTGTATCTGACTAGCGTGTAGGAGCATACAAAAAACACGATGAAAGAGCATAGAACAAAGCTTGTGCTAAGAGTGGACTCATGCGCTGTGGCGTTTAGAAGGTCTTCTCTTTGCCCGTATATCTTCCTCTTCTGCGGCTTTTTCAGCACTGTTTGCATGATTGCTTCTTCGAGTGTTCTTGCGTCCATATTTTTAATACAAATGTTTATTCTATCAAAAGAAGAAAATAATGCAGAAAAGATCACATAATAATAGACACAAACAAATAAAAATACTAACAGAAACTTAGAAGATGCAAAAAGAAAAGACAGCTAGATAAATGGATAGATTTTAGAAGAGAATACGCACACACAAACATGCCAAGGCAGGAGAGAGTGCAATAGAAAGCAGAAGCATAGCTAGATGCTAAGTAAATATGTGGTGGATACAGAAGAAATGAGTTTAAAAAGGCTGATTTAATTAGGCAACACAAGACACAAAAAACAAAAACATTCTATCTATATAACAAGAAAGTGTTTCTGGTTTGTTATGTGGGAAAAAAATAAAGTGGTAATGGCACTAATACTGGCAGCGTGTGCTCAACTGTGTTTCTGTAGGATAGAAAACAATAAAAACGAAGAAATAGAGTACACAGTGTTTGAAAATGCGTACGGAACATTTGCGCTAGGAAAAAACATCGTAGAAGAAGTGGATAGAAAGCAGAGCGCGCACAAAAACAAACACTCTTCCTGTTTTGTGTTACCGCAATACATCATAATGGCAAATAGCAATGCAGATGCTGTGCCTCTGTCCCTTATAGGAAAGCCTGAGAATGAAAAGCCAAAACACACCTTTAAATCGTATATATATGGCAACTACGGGATGGCAGAAAGCATAATGGTCAGAACGCCTTCTTTAGGCTGTAGCAAAAAAGATATTTTAACTTTAACAAATCCACTAGAGGAGGAAAACACATACGATGATGAGCATATATCTGAGAACGATATGAGCTTAGAGCCAGATGATAATCTAGAGGATAGCTATGGCCATACTGCATTCAATATCCATGATGTGAGAAATACACACAATTTAAATAGCAATCTACTCAATAAGGCAAAGGATACATCAGAGTTGGAGTATCATGAGACTAGAAAACTAAATCTCAATGGAATTATTTCTAGTAGAATAGATAAACACATAGAGAATGAGAAAAATAAACGAAGAATGCGCAATAACATGCATGATAGAGCTGCAGGAAGCTCTCAGAAGCTCTCAAGTGCTCTCTCTATGAATTCTGCAAGTAGAAGCAATGATTTACTAAGAGTAAAGGCTGATAATGATGATGCCTTAAGTGATAGTTTAGATGCTAGTTGTATAGAGCTGGATAACTCAGAGAATAACTGCAATCGAGACGATGCTTTTACTGTACATGATATAAGAAATACAGACAATTTGAATGAAGATCTACTTAATAAGGCAAAGAACACAACAGAGCTAGAGTATACCCCAGAAACTAGCAGATCAAATTTCAATGGTATTATTTCTGGTAGAATAGATAAGCATCTAGAGAATGAGAAAAACAAACGAAATATGCATAACAAAATGCATAATAGAGCTGTAGCAGGTACTCAGAACCTTGCTAGTGCTCTCTCTATGAACTCTGCAGATAGAGGAAATAATTTACCAGGGATAAAGACCGATGATCTTGTTTTAAGTTCTGAGCCAAATAGTGATTTAGATGCTAGTTGTATAGAACTAGATAACTTAGAAAATAACTGTGATAGTGATAATGCCTTTACTTTGCATGATATTGAGAAGTTAGGAAATGATAATATCAGACTTCATAATATGGCAAAAGACACAACAGATCTAGAGTATCATGAGACTAACAGATCAAATCTTAATGGCATTATTTCCAGCAGAATAGATAAACATATAGAGAATGAGAAAAATAGAAAAAACATGCATAACAAAATGCACGATAGAGCAGCAGAAAGCACTCAGAACCTTGCTAGTGCTCTTTCTATGAACTCTACTTGCAGAGGTAGTGATTTACTAGGAGTAAAGACCGATAATGATATTTTAAATTGTGAGTCAAATGGTGATTTAGATGATGAACATTTGAACACAGAAGTTCAAATAGACGGATGTGATAGGAATAATGCATTCACTATAAATGACGTAGGAAAGATGGACAATTTGAACAGCAATCTACTCAATAAGGCAAAGGATACATCAAAGTTGGAGTATACCTCAGAGGCCAACAGAACAAATCTCGATGGATTTATTTCTAGTAGAATAGATGCACGTCTAAAGAGCGATGAGAATAGAAAAAATGTACACAACAACATGCACGATAGAGCTGCAGGAAGCTCTCAGAATCTCTCTAGCACTCTTTCTATGAACTCTGCAAGTCGAAGCCATACTTTACTAGGAGTAAAAAATAGTATTGATATTTTAAGTGATGAAATAGATAATAGTTTAGATGATAATCATGTAGTGCCAAATGACCAAGAAATCTATCATAAACTAGATGATGCCTTTACTATACATAATGTAGGAAAAATAATTAATGATAATACCAAACTCCATAATATGGCGAAAGATGCAACAGATCTAGAGTATCATGAGACTAGCAAATCAGATTTCAATGGCATTATTTCTAGTAGAATAGATGCACATTTAGAAAATAAAGAAAATAGAAAAAACATGCACAACAGCATGCACAATAGAGCTGCAGGAAGTATACATACTTTGTCTAGTACACTTTCTATGAACTCTGCAAGTAAAGGTAGTAATTTGCTAGGGATAAATAACGATGATAATGCTTCAAGCAATCGTTCAGATAATGATTTAGATGACGAACATTTAAATACAGAAACTCAAATAGATGGGTGTGATAGAGATAATGTCTTCACTGTACATGATATAGGAAAGATGAGCAATAGTGATCAGGATGCACTCAATGCTATAAAGGATACATCAGAGTTAGAGTATACCCCAGAAACTAGCAGACAAAACTTTAATGGCATTATTTCTAGTAGAATAGATGCACGTCTAAGGAGCGATGAGAATAAACGAAGCATGCGCAATAAAATGCATGATAGAGTTGCAGGAAGTATACATGATTTGTCTGTTGCTCTTTCTATAAATTCTGCAAGCCAAGGTAGTAATTTACTAGGAGTAAAGACCGATTTTGATACTCCAAGCGATCAACCAGATGAAAACTTAGATGAGAATCATGCAGTGCTAAATGACCAAGAAAACTACCATAAACTAGATGATGCATTCACTTTGTATGATATGAGAAATACAGATAATTTGGATAACGATCTATCCAATAAGGCAAAAGATGCATCAAAGTTAGACTATCATGAGACTAGTAGAACAAATTTCAATGGCATTATTTCTAACAGAATAGATACACATTTAAAGAACAAAGAAAATAGAAAAAATATGCACAACAACATGCACGATAGAGCCGCAGGAAATATGCACACTTTGTCTGATGCTCTTTCTATGAACTCTGCAAGTCGAAGTCATACTTTGCTAGGAGTAAAGACCGATGATAATGCTTCAAGCGATCAACCAGATGATACTTTAGATAACAATCATACAGTTCTAGATAGTTTTGAAAATCATTATAATAAAACGGACGCCTTCACTGCACATGATGTAGAAAGTGCAGGCAGCAGTAATAATGAACTTCTCAATATAGCAATGGATACATCAAACTTAGATTATAAGAACGAGAAACCTAGCCTAGATTTGAATTTTATTTCTAGCAAAATAGACATGTATATGAGGAATAAAGAAGATTCGGATATATCTGCAGAAGCATCTTTAGATGCCGATGAAGAGCCTTTAGATGCCGATGAGATAGAAGAAAAGGTTGAAATAATCTCCAGTGCTTTAAATAACACATCGCAAGTGTGCACTGATTTTGTTGAAACCTTAGAAGAAATTGATGACCCGCTGTCAGATGAAAAAGTAGAAGAAGTTGCAAAGCCCGAGCACAAAAACGACTTTGTAACAGAAATTTTAAATCCTGTAAACTCTAAATACTTTGAGAATGAAAGTACAAATAGCAAAACAGCAGAGGTAAATAAAGGGCTATACATCCTCAACAGACTATTCTCTGACAACAACAGTAGCATAAACCCAAACAAGATAAACCCCTTTCTTTACAAGCTCTCTTTAAACAAGGACTTAAAGCCAGAGAGTCTTGAAAAAGCCTCCTATAAAGACTCTATTAAACTGCACACAAGGATTGCCACCATAAAACTGCACTTTCTTCTGATTAAGCTGCACACCGTTAAAACCGATAAAGACATAAACGAGCTAAACGCTATTTTTGTGAAGCTCGCAAGCGATGGATCTCCAAAGCACAGCACTCCTTTTGAAATGGCCGAGCCGTACTTTATTTACATGCTCATGCTCAAAAAAATCCGCTCTTTTTGCAGAAATGTAAATGTTCTGATGAAAATAGGAAGACAGCTGTCTGAAATCAAACAGCTAGATGAGAAGACCAATAACTTCTTGACCTCTTTAGTTATCAAGTCTATGTACTACCACAAATGCATAAACTACAGCAGTCCAAAGATATTCAATTTAGAAAATCCTTGATGCTGAACAAATAGTTTCTCTGCTGGATTATAAAGCTATATTAGCATTACAAAATTTTAATCAATAAATCAACATTTATTACTTTATGCAATCCTCTAAAACACATTGTAGTGTAAACTGTGCTGTTACATTCTCTATTGCCATTTCCATTGCCTTCTCTCTATTTCTTTTTATGTAACTCAAGAAACTCTTTTATTTTAATGAGCACTCTTGGTTTATACAGTTTATTTATGCACCTCGACCAAGTAGAGCTAATATACTATTGTAGTCCTCACACTGTAATTACTATTGACTAAGATAATAAAGTGTATTGGCTTATTTAGGAACTCTGATAGCTTTTGAGGTAAAATAAATACTAGCGCTCTGAATGCACAAGCCTACACAGAATATGTCAATAAAAAGTGTTATTTCAATTGCAAAAAAATATTTTGTACACATTTTTAAATTTTTACTTTATTATTCTCTCTAGAAAGTCCAGCACATCTCCAATATTTTTTTTATCCTTGCATGCGCTTCTTCTTTGTAGTCTTCAAGTAAAAATATACTGAATATCAGATTAAGCAATACTCTTACTTTTCTTTTAAGAGATATAATGAAAAGCCTGCTTATTCTTTCTAGCTCTTCTTCGCTTGGCATTGTTTCTGGAGTTAGAGTGTGGTTGCCTTCTATGTATCTTTTAATAGAATCTACAATTTTCATGGCGGAGGCCTCTGATAGGTACTGGATCACCTTATCTCTTTCTTTGATGTCTCCATTTTCCTGGTATAGAGAGACGGAGCAAAGCATAGAGTCAACCTCTTCTTTTACGGTATTACTGCCGAACAGCCCGTTGTACTTTAAAATTCCCATTTTCTCCAGCTGCCCCGTGCCCTCTAGCTTTGAGTAGCAAGTTCTTGCGCTGTTTTCTATCTGCTCGTGGCAGAGGTTGAGCAGAAATTTTTTTTCCTCAACTTTAGCATCCAGTCTTATGCGCAGATAAAGCAGCGCAATTGCTACAGCTCCAAGCGAAATAAAGACAAGCTTCACTGCTGTTTTTCTCTTAGCTACTGAGGTAAAAGCCATGCATGTATACTTCTTTGCCTTTGCAAGTGCTCTACTGCAGCAGCCCTTTTCCTCATCTTCAGATTTCATTGCATTTCCGCTTCTTTCATCTCGAAGGGGAACAGTTACATCGTATGATCCTTTATTAGAATGAAGAATGCTGCTGCATTTGTAGCATCCCACACAGAGCAGCATGATAAAGAATGAAGCTCTTTTTATGTCCATGATTCTGCATTTTTTCTCTTATTATATACTTCTCTTGTGGGAGCAATTGATCAGTAACAGTCATAATGTGTCATTTTTTATTTTTATTATTTTGGCACATGTATATTCTAGTATGCCAATAGATGTAGATTTTATTCTACAGAAACATAGATGATGTTTTTACTTGTTAATCTTGGCAGATAAGCGTTACTTTTAATTAGTCTATGAGATTTTGATGCTAATTCATAGTTTATGACGTTTTATTATGAAAGATGCACAATTAAGAAAATGAGCTTTGGCATAAATATTTAAAAATAAAGAATTACACCACACTCGTCACTTTCATATTTACAGATAGCTGTACAAAGTGGTTATGCTTCAATAAGTTAGTAGATGTTTTATGGCTTCACAGAGTGAAGAGCTTGCATACAAATGAATTTATGGGAAAATAAAGCATTGGCAAAGAGATTCTCACTGAGAGCCTTCTGATTGTTTAAAACTGGGAGTTATAAATAACAGGGTATGATTTTTGGCATGAAAAAAAATCAGAAACTGAAAAAAATATTGAGTGCAGGTACGTTGCTCCTCACTTTCTTTTTTACTGCGTGCCAGGGAGGCAGGCATGTTTTAGATGCGATAACTGGTAGTTCTACTCCGCATATAGACGGAAAAAGAAAAATGATTGAAATATGCAGTCCCACAGACATCCTTCAGTCCGCACAGAGCAGCAAGAAACAAAAGAGAGAAAGCTCAGTAAAAGAAACGGCAGAGCCATCTTCAGCACAGAAAAATGCTGAAAAAAGAATAAAAGATGAAGAGTGCCCCTTTAAGGACCTTCAAAGGCTGGAGAAGGGGAAGACAAGACGTAAAGTGGAGAAATTGCAGGTAAAAAACCTTGATACCAAACAGTGGAATGAAAAAAGGCTGGAAAACTCGAGGAGAAAAAGATATAAAACATGCCACCAAACAGTGTATATCCGCGACATTTCTGATAAACCTATGAAAGAAGAGCCAAGGTTAGAACTGTACCAGCAGAAGCTCAGAGAGGACATTGAAGAGTTTTCAACACACATTGCGCCTATAATAGACCGCAATGCGATGCTGTTCTTTGTTGCATCAAGGTCTATAAATATATACGCAAAGTACAAGGATCTTTGGGGGATAAAGAGTTGGCTCGCGAATGAAGATAGCAGAAAAGACGAGTATGTATTGTATAAAAAACTGCTGAAGAGCTTCAAGGGATACTATCCTGGCGTGATTGAAGATATCATAGCATATGTGAGAAAACACCGTCCTATTCGAATTGTCAGCACAGGCATTCCTCAAACTGAGTGGAGGAAGAGCCTGGGAGATCTTTATTTGCAAGAGACTCTTAAGCCAAATTGCGGCATGATGGGAGAGCGTGCCATAGTCAGTCAGATGGACAGAAAATACCTCGAGCTTGATCTGGCTGTGCGGATGCTCCTTGCAATGTCTGAAGTGCACCAGGACTTTTTCAAAATCAGTGAAGAGTTTATAGAGTACACTGAGGTCACAGAAGAGACAGAGATGAACAGAAATAATTATCGAATTGTACTGGAAATACACAAAATAGTGCAAATGTATCTGGGAGAAGAAGCAGAAGAAACGGTGTACGAAGAGCTCTACAGCATTTTAAAGTCTATGCACGATGAAGGAGCGCTGGAAGAGCTCACAGCAGCTGCAATTTACAAAAAAATATACACAGCCCTTGGGATTTTCTACGAAAGAGCCCCGTTAATTGACGAGAATGAGTATGTTCTGGCGGGGAAGTGCATAGTCACGAACCAGCAGTACATGAAGTGCAAAGGGAAAATAAAGATAGCATCAGATGACTACGAGGAAAAGCATTTGGAGACTACATACTCACAAGAGGAGAACAGGTGGAGTATTTTGCCGGACGTACAGGAACACTATCATGTGTACTACCTGGACAATACAAAGCAGCAGCTTGAGATGCTGTGCATGCCTGTGCATAAAGAAGACGGCTGTGAAGAAGAGTTTTATCTTCACACAATCAGTGACATAGTGAGACACATAAAAGTACTGTATGGGGTAAAAGAGCAGTCAGACACCATACACCCGTTTAAAGTAAAAAAAGAAACAAGAGAGTGGACATACATCAGAGAGAAAGACCGAAATGAAACACTAAAAAATTTGGCAGAGTACGAGGTGGTCTTTTACCAAATTGAAGAACATCTAGAAAGCAAAAAGTTTACTTTCGCAGAGTTTAGGCCTTTGTACTCTCATGACAGCTGCAGCATTTGTGTGCCGCTCTTTCTTACGCCTCTGATGCAGTCTGCAGTGGACCTAGGGCCTTTTATCAAAAAAGAAGAACATACGGAACTCGATTCGATATATTTTGAAAGTCAGGAGCCAAGCATATACAAGTACAACCATGCTTATAAAGGCCAGAAATATACAGATGTGCACAAATACTACAGCAATCTGTACATACTGCCAGATGCACAGAAGAAGAAAACTTTTAGCTGCTACGTTATGAACTGCAGCTCTAGTAGAAAATCAGATGGTACCGTTGAGGCCGTGTGGTATGTGAGGGTGCCAAGCAGTGTAGACGAGTACACGCACTGTCTGCCAGATAGATCTTTCAGAGAGGAAAAAAACATAGAAAAGTTTAACGCGTTTATCGAAACAGTAAAGTCAAGAGAGTACCACAAGGACAGCGACCTGCAGAGCATTTGGCTGTGCAATAACAGCACAAAAGATAGTGCATTAAGTGGGCCAGAGTCAGCAATATACAACTGGCAGGTGAATAGCAAACAGTGCAAGCAGGTTATAACCCAGAAAGAACGAAATAGGATAGAGCTAAGGGTAAAAAAGGCTGAAGAGTACCTTAAAAGGGCGGAGGCTAGGCAGAAAAGTTTAGGAGTGAAGCATAAAAGCGATACAAAGGAAATACAGAGGAAAAAGAGAGCGGCAAACACTGCCAAATGCAGGGCAAAAGCAAAGGTGGATCGCCTGCGCGAAGAGTCACACATAAAACTTTCTAGACAGCCAACTGTCGCACAGGCCGAGCTCATCGTGCTCAGAAATGTGAACCACAGCAAGTCCAACCTCGGAGCACACAACGAGATTCTTGATGCTTTGATTTCGACCTACAAGTGCCAAAAATACACCCCCATAAATAAATAGATTCTCGGGCTGCTTGATTTAATGCATCTTTACTGCGAATGTACTGATGGTGTAATAAATGCGACCTAAGCTAAGAAAGACTGGTACTTGAGAACAGAAGAGCGAGTAGATGTAGTGTAGTATTGGTTTCTACTGTCCATCATACAGATCAAGCTATAGCTTCTCTTATTCTTGGGATAGAGGAAGAAATAAAATATTGGATATAAAAATAATGGTGAAGAAAAGCAAAGAGTGTTGTGTAAAGTAGGAAAAGCCTTTGCAGTGCGATAGGTCTAACCGGTGGTAGTTGGCTGCCTAGAAAGGACGATCCAAGAGTTTAGCTCTTCAGAGCTTCGAAAAGGCTAAGATCAGTTGTTTTTGAAATAATCCATATCTCTTATCTTTGTTTTTATTTTTGTTTTATGCGCATACTTATTTCAGATCCTTTTCTAGAGGGCATATGCTCTATCTTTATCACGTGTGTAACGTCTACATTGGTCTACGAGCTGTGCGTTCTTGCTAAAGCAGAGATATGCAGGTATTTGTATCCAGATTTATTCTACTCTTCGTATGTCTATCACCTCGGGAGAGTATACCACTATCTCGAGATGGGGGAGGACTAAGCTGATTGTGTAAAATGTACAGCCGCTGGTTAAGTACGGTCTATGCCAGCTATTTTAGCTTGTTTTCTACTGCAGGTTTCTATTATCACGCGTTTGGTTTCTTTCAGAGCTAGTCCACTCTATAATTTCTGTATTATCATCGATAGGATAAAAAGAGCACACTCAGTTTCCATCACATAGATGTATATAAGTATAGGAATACTTCAGGGAGCATGCCAAGAATGAGAGTAGCAATAAATGTATATTGCCCAATTTAAACATGTTTTAAGATTTTTTACTACTCTAGGCTTGTGCTAAGCATGCCTTGCAGATTTATAGATATTAAGCAATTTAAATACTGAAAAATAAAAAGTAACACTCAACTAAAACCCATCATAAATAGCAAAAATGATTTTTTAGCATGAAAAATCAGAAAATAAGGAAATTGCTAGGTACAGGCACAGCACTCCTCGCTTTCTTTATCACAAGATGCAGAGGGAGTAGAGAGGCTCTTAATCAGGGAGAAGACAGTACTCCCGGGCCATCAAAGAAAGAAAAAAGAGTAAAAAGTGGAATAACCCGAGAATATCTTTCATCTATTGAGCCATCTACTAAAACCATGGAAGGCTCTCCCATGGAAGACAGTCCTTTAAATGCTTCAAATGAAACAACAGATCCGTCTGAGCTATTTCAGCAGTATGCTGCAGAGTCTAGTAAAGAAGAGCGCGCTTCAAGCCTGATGGACACAAGTGCAGAAACTTCAAAGGGAAAAAAAAGAAAAATAGACAAAGCTGATGAAATAGACGTTCTACAGGCTTTTTACAGTGATCTTCAGGTCCAAATAAACAAAAGAGCCCGAGGAAATGACTCGTTGAAAGAAACAGAAGATCTATCTTGCCAGCAGTTAGAAAAAGAAAGCATGAAAGAAAGCAAAGAGCAGTCCACCCAAGACAGTCCGGCACTGCTATATGAAAAGGAAAAAATAAAAGAGCACGTGTTCAGACTGTGGAACAGCAAAAGATTGAAAAACATAACAAGAAAGGTCTATAGATCAAACCACAAAACAATATGCATCTATCCCACCTCTGAAGAAGCCATGATTAGAGAGGCAAAGTCCAAATCCCAGCAAATAAAGCTCAAAGAGTATATTGAAGATTTTTTTGTTCATATTACTCCATTGGTAAAAAAAGACGTTCTCTGGCTTTTCATTGCAGGAAAAAGTCCAACTATAAACAAAAGGTATAATGATCTTCTAGGTCTGAGGGAGCTCTTCAAAGATAGCAAGAATCGTGCATATATTAAAACAGTGGAGAGTCTTGAAGGTTACTATCCCGGAATAATTGATGATCTGATAGCATATGTAAAAGAGAATCAGCCAATGAGAACGACTTTGGAAAATCCTCTAACCGCATGGAACCAAACAGTGGGAGATATATACATGCAAAAACATCTTGATCTGAACTACTGCCTGAGCAAGGAGCAGGAAGACCTCATCCAGTTAGAGAAGAAGTATCATGCATTGGCCTATGCAGTGCGCATGATCATGATACTGCCTGAAGTCTACCAAGACTTCTCCGGCATTACCGAGGATTTTATAGAAAGACATAGCACCTCTAATGACCCAGATGTAAACCAAGAGAACAGACAGATTTTACTAGGCATGCACAAACTGGTGGGTGCGCACAGAGCAAAAAAACAAAGCAAGAAAATGTACATTGACTTTTACAACACTCTTAAAAGTACGCATATGGGGAGAGGAATAGAAGAATCCACAGCTGCTGAACTGTATAGAGAGATATACACTCTTCTTGCCAAGTTCTATGAAAATGCGGAAGTGGTTGACAAAAAGGCTAACTATATTCTAGCAGGAAAGTGTGTAATAAAGAGCCAGAAGTGCATGAAGTGTGAGATGACAGTAACCATGGCACCTGAAGACCAGGATAAAAGAGTGGCAATCTCTAGGTATTCACTTGAGAAGCACAGCTGGAGTGTTGCACCAAGCGTGAATGCACACTACCACGTGTACTATGTGGACAACGCATTGGGCCAAATTAAGATGCTCTGCATGCCCATATATAAGGAGGATGGCAGCGAAGAAGAGCACTATCTACACACAGTCAGCAAGATAGTAGAGTACATAAAGACACTGTATGGAATAGAGAAGTATGCAGATGTTATTCACCCCTTCAAAGTGAACAAAAAAAGCAGAAAGTGGTCGTACATCAAAGAAAAAGAAGAGAGAAACAAAACAGTGAAAGAGCTGGGAGAGTGCGAGCTGGTATTCTACCACATCAGGCACAGCCTGGAGGAAAAGTTTACGTTCACAGAGTTTAGGCCTAAGTACCTTCATGAAAAGGGAAGTATTTGTGTGCCACTGTTTCTTACTCCTTTGATGCGGTCTGCTGTAGAGCTGGGGCCTTTTACCAAAAAAGGACATCATGAAGAGATAAAGCTGACAGATCTTGAAAATAGAGAACCTGATGTGTATGACTATAATAAAAAGTATAAGGGAAAGGAATATACAGATGTGCAGGGATATTACAAAAACCTGTACATACTACCAGATGCACAGAAGAAGAAAAATTTCAGCTGCTACGTTATGAACTGCAGCTCTAGTAAAACATCAGATGGTACCGTTGAGGCCGTGTGGTATGTGAGGGTGCCAAGCAGTGTAGACGAGTACACGCACTGCATAGTTGATAAAGATCACAAAGAAAAAAGAAGTAAACAAAAGTTCAATGAGCTTGTTGCAGCAATAGAGTCAAGAGAGTACAACAAAGATAGCGAACTGCAGGGATTCTGGCTGTTGTGTGGTGATGAAAGAGGCAGTATATCTGTAGGAAGAATGTCTACAATATACACATGGATAGTAGACAATAGCCAAGATTTGAAAAACGGGAGCAGAAATAGTCTGAAGAGTCTTAGGTTAAGAATAGATCATGAAAAAAGAAGATTTGAAGAAGCAGAAAAAAAACAAAGAAGCTTAGGCTCGCTGAGCACAGAGAATGACACAGAAGAGAAAAGACTGGAAAAGAGAGTGGCAATTTCTACAAAAAGCGATGCAAAGAAAAAGCTAGAAATACTCTGCAAAGAGTTCTCCAAAAAGCCAGAGTTTCTGGAAACAGAGTTTTTTGTGTTCCGAAATGCCAACCGCAGTAAGTCCAACATGCATGCACACAACGAGCTACTTGATATTTTTATCATGCGCTACAACCGCCAAAGAAGTAGTAGCAGTAGATAAAAGAACCATTTTAAGTACTCTCTTGCTATTGTTCAGTTTCTGTACTAAATTAAGGATCTAAGTGTGTCTATGAATTCTCGATTGGTTTGTTAGTGCAGGATTCTTAGAAGTGTATAGAAAGGTAAAATAAAAAATAAAATTATTTGAGAATAAAAGTATATACATGGATAGAGTTTTACTTCATTTTATTTTATTTTCGGGTTTTATGCTAAAGAAATAGGGTGGAATAGAGAGTAAAGAAGAGAGCAAGAGAATCTGTTAGTTTTGTGCTAGCTAGATAGATAGTCAACCGACAATTTTCACTTCATTCCTCGAATAGGCAATAAGCAAGGCGCATATTGCCATGCAAATAACAGCCAGTGTGAGTGTTTTAGCTATCTTCTCCTGGGCAGGCCTTGTTGAGAAAAGCTTTCTTTCTTCTACTAGCCTCGTGTTCTGCATTCTTTCAAATTCTTCTATCTTTTTGACTATATATTCTTGCTGGGCTGGGGCTATGTTATCAAATGCTTTCAACATGGCCCAAAGCTCTTGGATGCTGTGATACACCAGAACTTCTTTTTTTAGCTCCCAGTTTAACAAATGCATTTTATTTTCCAGATGGCCAACAGAAAAGATCGCATTTACACTATCCTCGTGTGATTCTAGATCATTTATGTTTGTAGCTTGCAGTTTTGCCTTTGCCTTGCTGCATCTTATGTTTTCTGCAATGAAAAAATCAGTCACTCTTTCCACCTCTTCATTTAGTTTATCTTTTTTTCTGCAGACTAGTTCTTTAAAGCCTGTATTTCTTATGTAGTTCTCATAAAACTCATCTAAGCTAGGGTTTATCTTCAGTGTGTTTGATCCCTCTTTTTCCTTCAAAAGGTCGGTGCTGCTTGCCATGTATTCCAGCACTCTAATTATGTGTGTTTGCATTATTTTCTCGTAGTTAATTTTTTCTAGATTATTGCCGACAGAAATGACTATTTTCAAGTCTTCTTCGCTGGCGAATAAAGAGCTGATTTTTTTAACTATATCCTCTGGGCTGTTATTATTAGCATCAGAGTATTTTATTTCTCTAATCATTTTCATCAAATCGAGAATTTCGTTGTAGTTTGTGTGGATAAGCTTCAGTCCGTAGTCCACCAATGGCACACAGGTATCTTTGTATGGAGTGGCGTAGAGCTTGTCCAGGGAGTAGAGCTCTTCTATGGATGAGTACTCTTTTAAAAACTTTATGTTTCTCAGATTCAAGGAGTTGGAAATGTCGCGGAAGTTCTCTCTGTCCAGGCTCTCCGAGGCAAAGTGGAGCATGCTTTCTAAACTCGACGAGTTTCTATCGTCGATCTCTAGTGTATATGCTCTAGTGCACAGCGAGTCAGGGATTTTGGAAAATAGAGTTATATTCTCTGGCCTTTCTTTATTGGCATTTTTTCTGCGAATTCCGTGGTTTGGGTTGTATATGAACGGGTTTGGCATTATGAGCTCATTCAGCAGCCGGATAGTCTCGTATTCGATTGTGGCAGTATCTCTGATGCTTAGTGCAAAGTGCAAATTGTGCATGACGTCAGGCCTTCTGTAATCATTGTATGCAAAGTATCGATATATGTTATTTTTAATTGTATTCAAAACGTCTTCTTTTTCTTTTTTGCTGCAGGTGCTACTTTCTATTTCCAGGCTCTCGCTGATGATGCTTTTTAGTATAGCCAGGTACTCTACTGGTTCATTAGATTTGATGCGCACATCTGACTCTTCAGTGTTGATTAACTTGCATGACTGCACTATTTTGCTGACATTTATCTTTAATTTGACCTCTTTCATGGGTGTTTTGAAAGTTTAGTTGCAAAAATAATTTAACCCTAAAAATTTGTTTTGTTCTGCCATTTCTGTTGGTAGATTCACCAGCAGGGTGCTCTGGCTGTACAGCAATCTAGTACTAGGCTGTAGTTTTTACATATTTATCTGAGAAGATTGCAGTGATTCAAATGCAGTTTCTACCTTAACAGCCATATGGTGAGAACAAATCAAATACTTTTGTTAAAAATCTTAGTATTAGCACGAATAGATGCAATGTACAGCTAGAAGCATAGTGAATGTATTATTGATAGACTATACTATTATACTTCATAGTAAAACAGTGTAAAAAATAAAAATAAAAAGTGAAGGATGCATGGCAGAAGAAGAATGGTTGAATATTACTTTTATTTAGTGTTATTATGAATAGTTAAGGCATGCATTAACTAGTAGAAGTACTATTTTAACGAAGAGAATTCGTTCTTAGTGGATTTAGCTAGACTCAGGCAGATCTTGAATTTTCTTCATGTCTATTTGCTTATCACAAGAAATTCTCAAATTCTGAGCAAAATTATAACCTATAGGTAAATATTTATCCTTATCTTCTTTTCTGAAAATAATGTCTATATTTT